CCGCAACAGTTTACAAATAAACCTTCTCAAATCGCCCGCCTTCTGCGCTCTACATTCTCATTGGTCGCTGGCGCAGTTGCCACGGCGATACTGTAGCAACGCCTATCAGCACTCCTCCCTTTTGTCCAATTACGGCAGCCGCGTTGGCGTGTGTGAGCGCTGATTGGCTGACGAGCTCTCGTCATGCGGCGCTGTAAAGGCGCTCAGCTCGGCGCGTTTATTTGCGATTGTTGTGACGGATCTGAGTAAACAACAACAGCCAACGGTCGCTCATCCGCGGACTGCGACGCACAGAGACACGGTAAGCGCTTTAAACGCTGTTCGTGTCGATGCTGTTGAATCGGTTCGCGTTGTCACTGAATGTTTTCTCGGATCAGATCTCCTCAGATGATGGTTCTGGACGGGTTCGGTCGCGGGAAGAGCCTCAGCGCGGCGGCGGCGCGGGGGAATGTGGACGCGGTGCGGCGGATGCTGCAGGATCACCGGCTCCTACCGGACACGCTCAACGAGTTCGGGAAAACCGCACTGCAGGTCAAACACTCCGCTTCACGTTTACAGCATACGGTTACAGATTCTCACCGCGCTGTTTGTTTCGCGTTCCCTTCCAGCCGCGATGACGTCACGACGACCACTGCGCGATTAATCTGATCGCGATTAAGTTACGCGTAACTAGTTACTTTGGAAATGTAATGTCACAGATTACAAGTTATCCTATTTAAAATGTAATAAGTAGTGTAACTATTTCAATTTCTTTATTAAAGTAATGTAACTGATTACATTTGATTACATTTCTAAGTTCTAAGTTTATCCAACTAGTTGTTTCAATAAGTTTTGTATAGTATTTTCTTTACCCTTTACTTCAAACACTAAAAAGGGTAATATTTTATGTATTTGAGGTCAGAGATGTGTGAACGCTGTTCATTTCCAAACATTGTTTAATAAAGTACAAACAGACACAAACTGTAAGCAAAATCAAACAATCAACCAACTGGAAAAACTAGAATGTATAATTTTTGTCATGCCAATAAAGCACTCTTAAATTGAACATTGAGAGAGAGTGTGTGTGTGAGTAAGAGAGAGAGAGAGTGTGTGTGTGTGTGTGTGTGTGAGTGAGAGAGAGAGAGAGAGGGCAAATATTTAGCATTTTAGCTCAGCATTGTCGTCTAATCAGCTAATATTGTCTTTAATAGCCTGCATAGCACTTCATCTTTTATAACATGGCATTTTGACCAAATAGATCTTGATTTTTGTAAAATGTTGCATAGTTAATTTTTCATTTTATTGTGTGAAAAATTACGGTTTTGGACATATAAGGTAATAAAAAAAATATTTAAAAAATACCTTAAAGTAACTACAAATGAGCGTGTGGAGCATTCCCTCGATCTGCGCAATGCTCTCACATTTTTTCTCCCTTACCTGTTTCCGTCTCTGAACAATGCTTTGGGAAAAAGACAGTTAATTAAAAAAATAAGGCATATACATAAACCCAAATAGGAAATAAGACAGGTATCGAATAAGCATGTGTCCTAAACTCCTGAAACATTGATGTCTCATATTTTACAGCAATTTGGGAAAGAAATCAATTATATCTGTATGTGTGTGAAAATATTCAGATGACCCCCCCCCGTAATACTTAACATTTTCACAAGTAACTGTAATTTAATGACACATTTTTCCCAGTAACAGATTACAGTGTGTAACTCCCGGCACTGCACGAGAGCAGCGAGGCCTGAGCTCCTGAGTGACGTGTGTTTGCCGTCTGCAGGTGATGATGATGGGCTGCACCAGTGTGGCGCGTGTGCTGCTGGACCACGGCGCTGACCCGAATGTCCAGGACCGCTGCGGCGTGACCCCTGCGCATGACGCGGCCCGCACCGGGTTCCTGGACACGCTGAGGGTTCTGGTGGATCACGGCGCCTCGGTCAACGTCCCCGACCACAGCGGAGCCCTGCCCCTCCACATCGCCATCCGCGAGGGCCACGGGGACGTGGTGGAGTACCTGGCCCCGCTCTCGGACCTGGGGCACCGGGACAGCCGCGGGGCCGACGCTCTGGATGTGGCCCGGGACGCTCGCGCTCCAGAGATGGTGGAGCTTTTGGAGCGCTTGATAGCAACCAGCTCCAGCTGAAGAACTGTACGGCTCTATTCCCCTCGGCGCTCATCAGCGGGTTGTATTTATATGAATATGTTGGATGTTTCGATAGTTGGTAGTTGAGCTCACAATATTAGCTGGAATATGTAGCACCGGTTTGCACAGAGCAGTCCCTGCACCGGATCCGGCACAGCGGGTTTGCCCGGCACACTTGTAAATAACTCTTTCTTTGATATTTTACAAAACATTTCTGTGCAGAAACTTGAACTGTTAACAGTTTTATTCTTGTGAAATTATTTCTTGCCATCCGCGCACTGATGAATTCTTGCTTTTCGTGTAAGTTTGCTTGGAGTTTTTCACGGATTAACGTCTGTAAATAACATTTTATGAATTTATTTGACTTATTTATTGAAGAATTGTATATTAACTTTTTTGTTTACCGTGGTCTTTCAGATGTTATTTATTAAGGTGTTTAATAAACTGAAAAATCAGTTTGTCTGCATTAACCGTGCTGTAGCTGCAGATGGATCTCTCCTCAAAAACATGAACAAATGAACGCATACATACTACAACATTAAAACACATAACACATTAGGTCATGTCAAACTTCTTTTATTTCTGAACCAAACATCTTTCACATGTGACTCAGAACAGAACAGCACAAACAAACATGATCTCTAACTAGATCTGACACTGAACCGATGTGACGAGCTGAACTATATTCCTCCAGAAGATGAGCTCAAGGTGACCCTGAACGGCTCGAGTTCCTCACAGGAATGCGTGCGACTGTACAAGGCAAACATTGTGCCGTCACAGGACAGAAACGATGCTTTTCTGGCCGTTTACAACTCGGAGAGGACGCAGACACAATGGAGGGTTTGTTTGCTCGCTGCATTCAGGCCAAACTCTCAGGATCCCTCTTACATGCAGCGAAGCGCTCACTGAATCCGCTGCACGACATCGAGGGTTTCAGGCCAGTTTGTTGTTTTAATGAGGGATTCTCTGAAATGCATCAGTTGCTTCTTGAAGTCTGACTCTTCTGCACTAATACAGGATTAATCAAACACCTGTTTAATCATGCCAGCAGTATCACAGCCAGTGTTTGAGATCAAAGTCCAGTAAATCATGCTCGGAGCGAGTGTTTGAACTCAGATCAGTTTAAACCCAACTGGATGATCTCAGCAGACTCAGACTAGCTCTGTGCAAAAGAATGATGGAAGTCCAGTGTACAAAACTTACAAACTAATACTGTACGATAAAACACATCCATAGAACATACTGACAGACTGGTGTATATACGGAATTATATCAGTGCTAATCAACTTTCGTCACATCACACTGCATCTCCAACCATCTTCAGCAAGACGTCCAGACATCCACAGTCTTGCTACCTAGAAAAGTAATGCAGTGAAACTATTTTACTGATTTCATACATTTTGCTAAATATAATAATGAAGACAAATTGATCCAGTTTAGTTCACAGATGCAGATCTCCTGTGGGTTTTTAATAATCCATTCACTATAAACTATCTGATGGAACCAAGAACATCAGACAACATCAGCTCATCTGCCAGCAGAGTCACGAGGCTTCAGAAGATTCACGGTCCGCTGGTTAGTCAAGTTAGATTCTGCTGGTAGATATATCACTTACATTTTATAAAAATATCTAAAATGATTTGCATATTCTAATGCAAACACACACACACTCACTCTCACACACACACACACACACACACACACACCTGTGGAAGTTTCCACTTGCTCAGCCACACCCACCATCAGAAAACAACACACAGAAGCTTCATTGTTAAGAACTGCATTTCTTTAAGAGCTCGGTCTGCTGTTATGAAGAAAAGCAGCATTAATTTCCAATCAGATTTACTCAGGTGTTGCTGTTTAAACACCAGAGTGAATTTACTTGAAAAGATAAACATCTGAGCTTAAACACTAAAAAACTAGAAAAACAGAAAGAGTTCAGCTGAGGGACTCATCAGGACGACTCTGTTCTCGCTTCAGTATGGCGTGGGTTCAGTGTGTTTTAGTGTTCGCTCACTTTCACAGCGGCCTCGGGTTTGGAAGGGTTGCTCCCATCAGTTTTCCCATGGGGATTTTTAAAAAGTCTTCGTTAAAGAGTAGTCATAAACTAAACCAACCAGCTACGAGGTGAATTACACCATTACAAACCTTCATTTGAAAATAATAAGTACAAAAAAGGTACAAGACTGTGTATTTAATGACTTTAATGAGGGAAATAACTACAATCCCATGAACCATTGCGAATGACAATCTAATTACTAAAAAAAATTGCTATGCACAAAGCATAGAGAGACTATTACGCTATTCGCAATGCATCATGGGAGAGTGGGCGGAGCTAAAGAGCTGTTTTGGAGCACTTTGCTTGCCGTGATTCACTGATTGGTGAAGACTTCTTTGCAGAATCATAAATCAGTTTTTTTTCCTAACCAGCAATTCCACTGTGAACATTTTTTTTTTAAATATTAAGTGCAGCCCATCTCAGACAGTGACATTATTGAGCTCATATCATCAATAACCTTGTTTCCCTCCAAAGTTGCAAATTTAACTTGTGCGCAAAATTGGAATATCCGATAAAACATTTGCGTACAAGCACCATTTCCATCCAACGAGCCCAACTTCCTGATAAACTGGCACTATAAATCACTAAGAAAAGTAGGACACGCCACTGAATATAATAACTTTCATATACATTACTTGCGCCTCAGAGCGAGCAGACGAAACACAATAAATGCGGTTAATGCTTTCGGAGGTGGACGCTGCTGTTTGGGAATGCAGTCGTGTAAGACATTTATACAGAAATACTCTGACGACAGACTTTGCTCGGGCATTTCAGAACGACCAGAACAATATTTCAGACGCTGTGAACGAGATCGGTCCGCTGGTCAGTCAGGTTTGCCGTCCCATAGCGCAAAATCCCATGACGTTTTGTTTGATGCGCATGTAGGAATTTATTCGGCAAATGCGTTTCCATCTTCCATTATTCGCATTAAAGGGTTAGTTCACCCAAAAATGAAAATTAGCCCCTAAATTACTCACCCTCAAGTCATCCTAGGTGTATATGACTTTCTTCTTTCAGACAATATTTCAGACGCTGTGAACGAGATCGGTCCGCTGGTCAGTCAGGTTTGCCGTCCCATAGCGCAAAATCCCATGACGTTTTGTTTGATGCGCATGTAGGAATTTATTCGGCAAATGCGTTTCCATCTTCCATTATTCGCATTAAAGGGTTAGTTCACCCAAAAATGAAAATTAGCCCCTAAATTACTCACCCTCAAGGCATCCTAAATCCCTTTAACCCTTTTTCGCACAAGTAAAAACCACCTCAAGCGAGCGTAAAAACATTTCTACGAATTAAGGGATTTTTATTAGAATTTCCATCACTTGTTTATGATGCGATACTTCAAAGTGCGCATTAAAACGGTGATGCAAACATAGCTCATGTCATCACGTAAATCAAAGCACACTCTATTTAGACAAAAAAATAAATGTGTGAATGGCAGCGCTCCAGTGCTGTGATTATCTGCGCTTCATTCTGTCCTTCACGTCTGGAGGCAGAAGGTCCGTCAGACCGTCCTCCACGATCACAGCGGCCAGTCTGAGCGAGAGACAGTCGGCGAGCTCCGCAGGCAGAGACTCCAGCCGGTTTCCCTTCAGCTCCAGCCGAACCAGCTGAGCCAGATTCCCGACCCGCGGAGACAGTGAGGAGATGCTGTTATTCCCCAGCGCCAGCACCTGCAGCCTCTTACAGGAGAACAGCTCCTCGGGGAGACTCTCCAGCGAGTTAAAGGCCACCGAGAGGAACTGCAGACACTGAAGCACGCCGATCTCCGAGGGCAGAGACGCCAGCTGGTTGTGGGAAAGGTCCAGGTGTCGGAGTTTGGTGCAGTAGCAGAGGCGCGGTGGAAGACTGCGGATCTTGTTCCAGCTGAGGTCCAGTGTCTCCAGCGCGCGGAGCTTGCTGATGTGCTCCGCGACGCAGGAGATGTCGTTGTGCCGGAGTCTGAGGACGGTCAGACGGCGACAGTGCTGCAGACTCAAGATCTCTTCCACGGTGCTAAGCCGGTTCTCTCGAAGGTCCAGCTCCTGCAGGAGGGACAGGCTGAAGACGGCGCTGGGGATCCGCTCCAGACCGCAGCCCGTCAGCTCCAGAGCGCTCAGGTTCACCAGCTTCTTCAGGCTGTTGTAGACCTGGAGCCTGGTCCCCTCGTTGTGAACGCAGAGTCTCTGGAGCTGACTGGACACATCCACGATACTGGGCGGTATCTTGGTCAGCTTGCAGCGTAAGGTCAGCACTCGCAGGTTCTTCAGGTCTCGTAAAGAGTCCAGCGCCGGACTGCGGGAGAGCTCAGCGCTCAGAGCGCCGCTCAGGTGAAGCTCCTCTAGACTCTGTAAGGTGTACATCCACAGCGGCACCTGCTCCGGACCCTCGAAGCCCAAGCGCAGAACCTTCAGATTCTCACGCAGGTGACTGAGGGCCGCCAGCTGGAGCTTGGCCGGACTGTGGATCAGCACGATCTCCTGTAAGGCGGTAAGCTGCGATACGGTTCCGGGGACCGTCACGTTACTGATCAGTTCCAGTTTGAGCGACTCGACCTCCGAAATCTCGAACACGGTGTCTGGCAATCCTGGAAGCAGGAACAGGGGCAGCTCCAGCCTCTCGGCGGCGTTGCGTGTCAGACGAGCGCGGAGTTTATCAGCCGTCCACTCGTGGTTGAGGTTGAGCTGCCGTAAGCGGCATTCGCTGACCTCCGAGAGAAACACGGCGAAGCGTTTGGAGTACAGGGCGTCGTACTGGTCGCTGAGGTGCAGGAGAAACGCAAAGTCATTTTTAACATCCGGGATGTCGTTTATTCCCGTCTCCATGCGAACCGCCTCAAAGGAATACTCTTTCAGCGGTCGGTGAAACCGGTGAAACAGCGAATAAATGCACAGCAGTCCGTAGACCCCGACGAAGCATATGTAGCAGTAGGCTAATTAGGCTAATTTGTGCGCTTTATTGTAGTTACAGCAGAACGCACTGAACCCCGTCAGATCCGGAGGCACCGAGCACATCACCATGATCTGGATGTTGGGGACCAGCGCGACGCTGTAAACGGTGATGAGAGCGAATTTGAAGACCTTCAGCGCCGTCTGCAGCACGTACATGAAGTAAAGCAGATCCGCCTCCTCCACGTGCGTCCGAAACTTCCTGACTTTCTCAAACAGGGCCTTGGCCTGCTCGCCTTCTTTCTTATCCAGGAGCGACGCGGTCGCTTCTGACGGTTTCTGGTCCGAGCCGGACTTTATGGAAGATCGGATCAGAGACACTATGTCGTCGTTGTTGTCTGCGGCTGATTTGGTCATTGTGTTCTTTCTCCACACGACCATTCTCTCCTCTCGCCGCTCTTCGTAGACTTTGCTGATGGCTCTCGTGGTCCAGGGAGAGTCGAAGCACTTCCCCAGAATGATCACGAACAGCTCGATCTTAGACGACGTCCCTGGGAACTTGAACCAGAAGCTGCTGGCCACCATGAAGATCATGCTGTGGATCACCACTAGGTAGGGGAAGTACTTTCCGTACCAGTGCACGGCCCGTTCGTAGCAGAAGTGGTTGACGAACTCGTACTGGTGGATATCCAGGCCGTTCTTCCGGCCGAACACCTCCACGACGTTCGGACCGAGACGTTTGGTGATGGCGAACTCCCACAGACTCTCGTTCTCCTGCCGCAGGTGACTGCAGTCTCGGTCTCCGCCGGACAGATCCGTGAATCGGTTCGGCAGGCAAGATATCTTGTCTTGTGTCAGCTGCGGAGAGATGGAGATTGTCTAAGCATCAGTGACGATGACACACGAAACATGGCACTCATCTAATGAACATTTACACTGCAAACACCTGTATGTTTCTGGCGGCAAATAAAAGGAAGAATGGCCAATGGGTATCACGAGTCACGGCAGGAGCTGATGGCAAACACTCCGCAGAGACGCGTTATCTAATCAGCTAAAGCTCTTCTCTTTATTGCACACATTCCTGATCAGACGTGCGACGCAGAGGAACATGGATGGTGAATGCAATTTCTCTAAAGTATATTTTAAACCTGTTATCATTACATTCAATGATTTTTGTAGGTAAAATATAATCAGTGTTACCAGAGTTTTAACATTTAATACGTTAGGTTTACATCCATTTATGTGAAAATGCCTTTTGCTCGGCCAGTCGTGTGTTTGAATGCAGCCGCACAAGAACGGACTGCAGAGAAGAGCCTCTGATTCACAAAACATGCTTCCAAATGCAGAGATACAGTGCACAGCGATCACTTCATGTAATGTGACCGTCTAGAGAACTTCTCTGCTTCTGCTCCAGCAGGACTGATATTGGAAGGAGAAATGTTTTCTGATACGTGAATCAGATGGAACAGCTAAAACACGGAGGAGAGCAGAATCACAAACCACAGCAGCACGCACAATAACATGTACTTTTCTAAGGAACAGTTCACATGAAAATGAAAATTCTCACCCTCATGTCATTCCAAACCTGTATAGTGTGTCTGCATGCAGCATTTCTGAAGCTGGAGTGAAGGAATTAACTCAATTTTAATCTGTTCCTCGCACAGAGAATCACATGGTTTCTGAAGGCTCAGAATAAAGTGTGAGTCACATGACCCACTGCTATTATACTTTTATGATACTTTGATGGTGTTGTGAAATCTCTTTCAGTGCATGGTAAAACACAGCTCAAAGGTTCTTCAAAATTGCATTTAAGGAAAGAAAGAAAATCATACAGTAAATGATGACACAATTTTCATTTTCAAGTGAACTATTTATTTTCAGTCGCTGACTCACAGTCTGAGCACACGAAGTGTTGTATGCGGCTGACTTGTGTCTGAACTCTTGGTAGGTCTGGTGTAAAGGTCATTATGTCACGATGGCACACGGAGCTCACCTGAAGCGTGCAGCCGAACACCCCCATCATCAGCATCGCGATGCCCAGATACTCGGACAGAACGTCCCACCAGGGCTTCAGGACCCGGAACTGTGGGTTCTGCTCGCTCGTGATGCTCCGGAACTCATTCACAGGAATCATCTCCACACCTGCCCGAGGAGAGACACAGATCCCGTCTGAAACGTTAGGGAAACATCACATGAAATGGCCTAATATTGACATATGAAGTTGAGTCATGCATAACGAAGGTTAGCTGTATTACACTGGTTTTATTCATCTGCGGGGAGGATCAATGTTATTAATAAACTCAGGAACATGTGACACTTTCAAGAGTTCCTGCAACACACTAACAGCTTCTTTGCCTTTATGTTGAAAGGAACTCTCAGACATGCAAACAGGTAAAGGAGGAAAAAGGTGAGAACATTACGCAGATCCGGGGCATATGCTCCACACGGACTTTCTACTGGAGATATTTGCTTTACATGCTTTTTTGTAATAACTTTAAGGTATTTTAAAAATATTTTTAATTACCTTACATGTCCAAAACTAATATATATATAATTTATTATATATATTTGGTCAAAATGCCATGTTATAAAAGATGAAGTGCTATGCAGGCTATTAAAGACAATATTAGCTGATTAGACGACAATGCTGAGCTAAAATGCTAAATATTTGCCCTCTCTCTCTCTCTTCCCACATCTCTGACCTCAAATACATAAAATATTACCCTTTTTAGACATAGTTTTTGAAGTGAAAAATAAAGAAAATACTACACAAAACTTATTGAAAGACCAGTGTTTTATATACCCTTGTAAGACCCCCCCACCCCCCATAAAAACACTCTCATTGGATCTAAGCAAATCTCACAGGTGACCTGTTTTGATCTGAAGAGTGAGTAGTCTGAAAGCTACGGAGTTTGCTTCTATGCTTTATTATCAGAACACAAACTTCCTTCTGTAATTAAGTTGAACGCGCATTAGTGTTTGTCATTTGATCTCAATCACAATCTGACAGTAATGAGGTTAATTCATCATAAACCTGCTGATCTCAGGTGAGCAGACACTCATATCACAATATTGTTGGTAGTTTACAGACTTGTTTATAAAATCGGCTGGTAACAATGCAAGAGCCGAGTTAATAGAGTTAGTTATAGAGTTGCACTCACCTGCACTGCATCTCCTGGAGTCTGGAGCTCAAACAGCTTCTCCAGCTCGGGTTCTGCAGTTAAGCGCCTCCCTAACCTTTGATCAGGAGAGCTAATGAGTCAGAGACGAGGCTTCATATAAACAGCCATGCAACAGATTCATATTCTGAATTCATATTTCACTGTCACTTTGATTGGCATCCCGCTGTGCAATGTTTAGTGCAGACGCGAACAGCCGACAGATTACACAAACAACTCAAAACAGCGCTAAACACAGTATAAACAGGTTTTGTTTTACTTCTGAGCGCCAAATGTTCTCACTAATACAGTGAAATATCATGACAACCGACTTATGAGGACATTTTATGTTTTTAGTTATTAATCGGACAAATCTTGTTTTTGCTCCACTCAAAACATTTTTTTTTTAGTTTGAATAGGTGAATGTTGTTTGTAAACTAAACCTATTTTTTCTGAATCTATCTATCTATCTATCTATAAAAATGAGCCCGAGTTCCGTCCATTAAGAACGAACAGGGGCCAATATCTCTAATAGCAAAGGGACAGTATCTCAAATAAATAAAAGAAGAAAAAAAAACAGACTTCACGCAATACTAATATACAAAATCCCTGGAAAAGCAGCTTAAATTGGTTTTATAAATACATAATTTCATCAGCCTGTGAAAATCATCTTTCATTTGAGCAAAAACAATGTTGGCGTCTGTAGGCTGGAATACAGTTAGATACATCCGGAAACGCTTCACAGCTCATTTCGTTAGTAACAGTGATCTTGTGTGTATGTTTGTACATCTCCAGAAGCTCTGAGTCGGATCTCGAGTCATCACACCATCAGCTTCAAGACGGATCGACGTCTGACATGAAAAAGACAAATACAGAATCACACGAACAGCTTGATCAAACTACACTGAAGCTGTGTTGGTTCAGGGTTTGGCGAGGATCGAGTCCAGCACACTTCATTGGGCTCAGAGGGAGGTAGACATCCATCGTATCCATCAGTATTAACATTTGTTAGTGTGTGAGTGTGTGTGTGTGTGTGTGTGTGAGAGAGTGTGTGAAGAGACATTTTATAAAAAAATAAATAAAATAAAATATAAAAAAATACTTATTTTAAAAATCTTACCAATTTTTTCCCTCTTCTTTTCTTTTTTTTAAAATTTTTTTTTTACATATTTTCATACAATGTACATTAGTTACATTGACCCCTTTTAAAAAGAGGAAATGTACCGGTCAAAATGTTGCTAAACCGTGACAGATACAGAACTGTAAAACAGCCCACTTTTTTGGGTACATCAACACCCAAAAGTGCTTGTATGGAGCAAATGTAACCCTATTCTTTCTCTCTCTGTGTGTGTGTGTGAGTGTGTGTGTGTGTGTGTGTGTGTGTGTGTGAGATGCAGCAGTTCAGAGTGTGAGCACTAGGTGTCGCTAGAGGACAATAAACTGCGTGCTCCCGGACGGTAAGAAAATGTGTTCAGCCAGGGGTCCTCAACTCTGGCCCTCGAGGGCCGGAGCCGAGAACCCCTTCATGTTCCTTTGGATCCACCGGTTCTTTGTAAACGGAATGATTTTTCAGCAGTTGCTGATTCACACATTCAGACACATCTTCTGTTAGTGCAGTGTTTTGGTGCCTGATTTGACTCTTGGCAGAAATCGACCGGCCTGTGCTGCTTCGTCTTGTATTTAAGAACTGCTGCTGTGTGTGTGTGTGTTTGTGAGTGTGTGTGTGTGTGTGTGTTTGTGAGTGTGTGTGTGTGTGTGTGTTTGTGAGTGTGTGTGTGTGTGTGTGTTTGTGAGTGTGTGTGTGTGTGTGTGTTTGTGAGTGTGTGTGTGTGTGTGTGTGTGTGTGTGTGAGATGCAGCAGTTCAGAGTGTGAGCACTAGGTGTCGCTAGAGGACAATAAACTGCGTGCTCCCGGACGGTAAGAAAATGTGTTCAGCCAGGGGTCCTCAACTCTGGCCCTCGAGGGCCCCTGTCCTGCAGAGTTTAGCTCTAACCCTCATCAAACACACCTGAGCAAGGTCATCAAGGTCTTCAGGATCGCTAGACTGTTACTGGCAGGTGAGTTTGATCAGGGTTGGAGCTGAACTCTGCAGGACAGGGGCCCTCGAGGGCCGGAGCCGAGAACCCCTTCATGTTCCTTTGGATCCACCGGTTCTTTGTAAACGGAATGATTTTTCAGCAGTTGCTGATTCACACATTCAGACACATCTTCTGTTAGTGCAGTGTTTTGGTGCCTGATTTGACTCTTGGCAGAAATCGACCGGCCTGTGCTGCTTCGTCTTGTATTTAAGAACTGCTGTTACTGCAGATTACTACAGCAAAAACATGAGGCAAATATCTTTTTTTTTTTAACCTATTAATAACTTTTTATCAGTCATTCTATTATTACCCCAGTGGACAAAAACGTTTATGAGCCCATTGTGATAAGTATGAATGAAGCCTTAAATCAAAACTAGACATGACATTTAATTATTTATTAATCTTCTGTTCTCATAAAACCTCTCGTCAGGTTTCATCACGGCCAAACCACTTTAACCAATCACCCTGATGATCATAGTTTCATTTCTATAAATAATCATCCGAAGCTTCAGTTCTGGAAAATGATGGCAGAAGTGTGTGTGTGTGTGTGTGTGTGTGTGTGTGAGTGTGTGCGTGTGCGTGTGTGCGTGTGAGCGTGAGTGAGTGCGTGTGTGCGTGCGTGTGTGTGAGTGTGAGAGTGAGTGTGTGTGTGTGCGTGTGTGTGTGTGTATCTGTGTGTGTGAGAGAGTGAGTGTGTGTGAGTGAGTGAGTGAGTGAGTGAGTGAGTGTGTGAGTGAGTGA